GTGACGTGACACAAAAAATGACAAAACTTATTATTACGCATCTTTTTTATTCACATATACTGCAAGTTCAAACAGTGTTTTATAAAGAACTTATCAGGCTACAAACTTTTTCTGAACATACTTACGAGTGAACATTCCTAAGTGTCCCATCGTTTTTGAGTTCGGACTCTATGCATAAGGTAGATCCCAGTGACGTATAAAAAACCCCAGAAGAATAAGTGCCCTTAGGCCTACTGTCTAGAGTTATAGGCATTTTACCGAAATTTTAGCCTTTAGCATGGTAAATACCGACAAATCAAATGATGGTATTTCGACCTAAGATTTTGCCCACAAATATATCTATTTGTGAGTAGAATACACTGAAAATTTCAGCTCAAAAGAATGTTTTATTCCTGAGATATTAAAGTCCCAAAAATCAATAATATCCCACGAAAGATGCTAGAATTTACTGTTTTTTGAGACTTTAATATCTCAGGAATAAAACATTCTTTTGAGCTGAAATTTTCAGGATATTCTACTCACAAATAGATCTATCTGTGGACAAAATCTCAGGTCGAAATACCATCATTCGATTTATCGGTATATACCATGCCAAAGGCTAAAATTTCAGTAAAATGCCTATAACTCTAGACAGAAGGCCTAAGGGCACTTATTCTTCTGGGGTTTTTCATACATCACTGGAATCTACCTTATGCATAGAGTCCGAACTCAAAAACGATGGGACACTTGGGAATGTTCCCTCGTTAGATTTTTCAAAAAATTTCTTTCAAACTTAATCATACAAAAATCCTTGAAAAATTAGTTTCTAGAAAGCAATTGATTGTAATCTAGTCTTGCTGAAATACAATGTCGAGTCTATTCTAAAATTCTTAAACTTTTCTATCATTAGATAATTATTCACAAACTAATTCAATTAAATTATGTATGAGACTAGAGAATGTCAATATTTTTACATATATTCTTGAGAAAAAAAAAAAAAAAACTTGTTCAAAACAATAACCCTTACAAAAAAGAATCAACAATAGTTATGTTCTATTATCACACATTTAATCATCCCATCTATATGTATGTATGTACATAAAGAAACACTAAGATCATTATCTATCATATTATCATTCTCACAATGTTTTTTTTTAATTATCTCTTATTGATAAAATTCAATAGTTGTCATGATAAATATTTGTTTAGTTGTATGTGGTTTAATTGATCGTCGAAAAAAAAAACGTTTATTATTTAATGTTAAAGATTCATCATTATTTGATAAAGGTGATATATGTCTTTATGAAGAAGTAGCACGTATGCCACCATTTGCAAGAAAATGTTTACTTTTAATTGGAGCACATGGTATTAAAAGACGAACATTAAAAAGTCGTTTAATTGAACTTGATCCAGATCGATTTGGAACAATAAAACCACGTAATAAATTACAAAGAAAAAAAAAAACAAAAACTGATTTTTTGAAATTTTTAATTCTATTATTTCATAGATACATCACGTCCTTTACGTGATAGTGATGAATTAAATACTTATTATTATATGAATAGAAATGAAATGGAAGATGAAATTGAAGCAGGTGGTTTTCTTGAACATGGTATATATGATGAACATTTATATGGAATAAAATTTGATTCTGTTCGACGAGTTATACAATCAGGTAAAATGTGTGTATTGGATATTGAACCAATGGTAAGACTAATAATGTTTTCTCTTGGTCTTCTTTTTATTTTTATTTTTCACGTTTTGAATGATATAGGCTTTAAAATTAATTTGTAATAAAGAATTTATGCCATATGTGGTATTTATTAAAGCATCAAATATGGATCATCTTCGTCATATACAATATAACAATGACAAGCAAAAAGCATCACAAATGAGAACAGTTTGTTTCCAATTCATTATTTGTGTTTTATACAAAATATTTTTTGTTTTATAGAAAAGTAATATGAGTAATAATTCATCATTAAATTTACCAGTAAAAAAATAAAAAAATTGCTTAATAAATGAAGATATTGTTTGTTTTTTTAATATTTAGACAATAGATCCTGAACAAATTGTTATGGAAAGTGATGCTTTAGAACGTGATTATCATACGTATTTTGATCTTACACTTGTTGTTGAAGATATTGATAAAACATTTGAACAGTAAGAAAATATTCTTTTAAATTTAATTAATATGAATCTATTGATGAAAACAATAATCTATAAAGTTTTCTAAAACTTATGACTATTTCATAAATATAAATAACTTCGTTATTAATCATGTTTAATCAAAATGTATTTTTTTTCCAATTTGAAGTAGAACGTTTGTAAGTTATATTTAGTCAAAACCAAGTTCATTAAGAATACAGAAAATGTAATACTTTCGCGTGTAATTTAAAAGTTAAGTTCTTTTTTTATATAGTTTTACTTGACTTGTGATGTTTATTACGGACATAAGGTCATGCGCAGATGGTTGATTATTTTTTATAATCATTTGTACAGTACATAAGTCGTAGTTCTTCGAGAATTTTAATAACTGTAAAAACAAATATGTTAGAAGCGTTTTATAACTCATTTTGACATTACAATCGACCTCCTTACTTTCTTTTTTTGTAAGAATATATCAAAACAAGATGTTTATAAAGTTACAGTAAAAGACTTGAATAATCTGAAGCTCATGCTAATTATAGAAACAGGAGTAAATATCATAAAAAGAAGCCTAATTTTTAAAACGGAACCAAAAGTGTTACATTTTTTATACTTTAGATGAACTTGATCAATAGCTGAGTGATCTGTATTTTTTACATGGTCGTAAGCAGAGATAGAACCAGTCTGAACTTTTCACGACCGACACCGATGAGGGATATAGCCACAGATTTTCCAAGGGAAGTGCACATCACACAGGTACTCTTTGCATTTTCCTAGCACCAGTTACCACTCGGACTAAAATCTATACTGGTACTGGTTTCATGTTTGATCATGCTTTTTGAGACATTCAGTATCAAATCAAAGTATTTTTGAAGAATAGTCGTATATCTACTTTTTTTTTTGTAGACTTGTTCGAGCTGTCGAAGCATTAAGTGCTGAACCTCAATGGGTGAATGTTCAATGGTTTTCTTAAATGACCTTGTTTAATCAATATTCTCTATGTTATTAATCAAATGAATTTCTTGTTTGTTTTGTTTGTATATATATGAAAAGTACTTATATTCATATAAATTTCATACATTCCACTTTTTTTCTGTGTTCATTTTCTTGTAATTTTTGTGCAATTTAACATATATTGCTGCTGCTTCTGAATGCTAAATGTTCGTTTTTCTTTTTTTTTATTAATCTAATACTTATTTGCTTTTTCTACTTGTAATCTCAGTTAAATATGAATAAACGTATTCCAGTGCTTTTTTAATGGCACCAGTAGAACTTATGAATAAATTAACTTTTGCAAAGTAACTAGAACAATCTTAAAGTATAGCCTATCTTGCAGTTCCATATTTAAAAGTTTGATTTCATAATATGGAAATTTTTATTAATAGAATATTTGAATTCTTGAATAGTTTGTAAGAAAAAAAAATATCAACTTTATTTATATGTTGGATGGAGTAGCTTTGACGTAACTAAAATTCTTTTAGTTCACTATGTTTCCCCTCGTGCATATTATACATAATTTACATTTTAGCCTTCAATTAATGCTGATTCTTTTTTTTAACAAGGACTCAAATTTATTTACATTTTTTTTACATGACGAATTCTTTATATCGCATTTTCTGTACTCCTAAACATTCTGATCTTTGGACTTCTGTACTTAAACTGTGCCGAATACTTTATCGATTGGAGCATTAGCATTTGCTCTTCCTCTCCACTGAAAAACTAGATATCACGTTTAGACTAGTGGATATACTAGAACATGTTCAATATGTTGAGGTAATGTCTACCACTTGTGAACTTGATCTATAGCAAGGAATAGACCTAGCTGTTTGGTTGATTCGTGAGCTATATATGACGTTAAGACTATCTGCCGAGAATAGAATACTACATCTCTGAATGGGCAACATCGAAAAGAGCACAGGACTATATACAATGTTTTACAAACTTTTAAAAATAGATTTGACAGACTCTTCTCTCTCTTTATTCGAACATTTTCTTCATCAATGTACTTTGCTTTGTTTTGCACACTATTTATCTCAATATATAATTTAAATTAACTAGTTTGTTAAAGTTGAGTAACAAAGATATTATTATCAATGTCTGACATTTTGAGGATGAAGATGTCAAAGAAATCATAGTCTTTCGAATTGTGAAACTTTGTATTGATTTAGACTAGTAAAATAAACAGTTTAGTGAATTTAGTGCTTTCTGTCATAACATTGTCATGAATTCATGATATTTTCATTATCCCAGTTATTAACCAATGGCTTATATTTTCGTGACTTTTTAAAATAGAATGAGTAAAAAAAGAATAGAATCAAGTGTGTAGATAGTCTGTCCTCTAGATATAATATTTTTGAGGATTACTAAGAAAAATTGATTTCGTGATATAGATATATTATATATTTACTACTATCAGATATTATCAATGGTTATTATTAGATATATTCCGACTCGATTATAACTGTTTGCTTGATTTTTAAGCTAATTTCTTATATATTTAAGCTAAATTTAAAAAAAATATATATTGAATCGAAAGAATGGAAAAAGTTCAATTGCTTTAGCAAAGCATGAACTTAATTTTAATTGATCGGACGGGTTACAAACATTAAATTAATAAAACTTACATTCATGATAAGTATCTTTGCTTCCCTCTTATTCAGGCATCCATTGTAATTGTACATTGAATAGTATTATTAGATAGATAGACAAAACATTTATGGATGTTATATTATGGACATTATCTGATTGATGATGTATCTCTTTTATCATTTTTTTAGACAGAAGTAGATGAAGATTCACAAATGTAATAAAAAAATAAAATAGAAAAAGCGCTTGGATTTTTGTTCATTCATTAATTTTTTCTTAATATTCATATGAATAGTTTATGGATTTGTAGACAACCAACTTTATTTCCATTTGATCATTATTATGATTATAATACATTGGATCAAAATTCTAAGATAAATAACACAATAATCGATCATACTGAATGTTCATCATATATACATTTTGGTAATACATCATATACATTAGGTTTTGGTCATTTATTTTCAGGTAATTTACAATCTTATCAAGTATTTAATCCATGTCATCAATGTTATGAATCATATTCATTTGAAATACCTCAATGCTATTCTAATACATTAGAAATAGAAAAAATTCAATCACAACAAGATTCGATCATTAATTATAAAATTAATAAAGCTATGGAAATTATTCGAAATAAGATAAAAAATGTTGAAAAACAATATGATTACTCGATATCATCAACACCTTATCGATCTGATCAAATAATGAATAATAATAATAATCAGAACAATATTATTAAAGCAGCTAGACTACTTGAACGAGCAGCTAATGCAATGTCTATTGCGGATAATAAACAAAACGGATTTTGATTATGAAAGTCTTATGAGGAAACATATCCAACTGTTAATTACCGATTGAAGTTATATTTTGTCCATTAATAGACCTCGGTAAGATCAGAAAAGGTCTAAAGAGATTTGTCTTCATAGACCTTGTGGAATTATGACAGGATATTTATAGAAAAATCAAAAGAAGAAATTTCCATCTAAAATTCTGCTCATAAATAGTTTATATGATCTTGAGAACATTATGAAAGTTTCAGCCAAAATGGATGGTTATTTCCCAAGATATTTAATCATGAAGGGAAGTCATTTTCATGACCCTTCTTTGTGACATATAATAGCTTTTTTGAGTATTCAATATCTCGAGTAGGAAAACATTCGTTTTGACTGAAACCTTTCAGGATGTTCTCAAGATCATATAACTCATCTATTAACAAACTATTCGATGAAAACGCCTTCTTTTTGAGTTTTCTATGAATACCTTGTTTTAAGTCGAAACCCAATAAAACAGTCATAAATCAAAAAACAAAGACCTATGAAAACAAATCCTTTTAGAATTTCTCTGGTCTTACTAACTCATATTTATGAGCAAAATATAACATTGATCAGTGATTAACAGTTGACTATATTCCCTCTTTAAATGAAACAAATTTTAATGTTCTTCTTTTCAGCATTGTATGAAATAAAAATTTGTAAACTAATCAAATTGCATACAAAGTCAAAAACTAAATATCTCTACAAAAAGTTCTAGTGATTTTATTATCGTGAAACATCATATTCTAATTTGTGTAAATTGTTTTTTTGTCTTCATATTAGTAAAGAATGAAATGAATATATTTAAAGATAACATTTGTAGCATAAGGAATTTTCATACAAAAATATCATTTTTTTTTTCTGAAAGAAATTGAATAATTTCTTGTTGCTTACTATTGTAACTATTTTGCAAGAAGAAATAAAGATAATTTTTGATATAATTTTCCTCTGACTTAACATAACGTGTGGACCGAAAGTTTTCTAGACAAAATTTTTCTCTATTTTTTCATGCATTTAAATGCATTGATAGAGTATTAGAATCAGAATGTATACTGAAAATTTTTTTGTGATTTTTGACTATTGATCTATAAGTGAATCTTGAACAAAAGTTGAACAAGTTTTTTTGTTTGCAGAAAAAAAACTTCAAATGAAATTTTTTCAAGATATGCCTGAAAGTTTTATCAAAAATTTTTAAAGATATAGAAAATAGTTTTCTATTAAACGATTATTTTTTTTTGTAAATTACTGAAATGCAGTAAAGGCTGTTATAAAATCTATCACAAGAAAAATGGCTTTTTCAGTGAAAAATGACCATTTGTCACAACTCGACCATTTTTTTTTGCGAATTAAACAGGACCCTCTATTCTTACGTTACTTGCAGAATAAAGATCATTCTCAAACATTAGATATTAACAGAACTAATTTGATGTCTATTTATATCATCATCTCGAATAAGAAAAATTGTTCTCATGAAAAATTTTTGTGTCTGCCGTATGTCTGCAGCAAGATTCTTCTATTTTTCAAGCGCAGGTGTTTGTTTTCCTGACATCAAAATTATTCCATATGTAAAAATCTAGAAAGAGAGCAGTAGAAACTTATTAACCCGTTAGCTGTCAATATAAAAGAAGGAAGAAACGGTTTTGAGAAAATTTATTCGTTTTTTTATGGAATAATCCTATAGTGTGCCTTAATAAAATGGTGATTTGGGAAACACATGATTGTTAACATTTGTAATACACAAATGCGTGTGAAAAATATATTATGAATGATTACTTCAGTTTATGCAAAAGGTGAGCCTTCTTACGCATATATGCATTGGCGATAGACAAAGAGTTAAGCTCTCTAACTTTATGAAGACTCTTATGAACTTTCTAATGGTATACTTCCAGATTAATTTTGGAAGAAAATCGATGATAATTTTTCATTCCTATCATAACATTCGGTTTGTTAAAGAAAACTTTTGTTTTTATTGAATAGTTCACATCATGAAAGTTATCATTGTTATTGGAAGACAGACTCAACAGATAGAGCTTCTTTCGTTCATTCTAGAATTATGCATATGGAATAGTTTTGATGTCAAAAAAGTGAACATCTCTTTTTTGAGAAATACCAGAATCTGACTGTGCACGCATTGAAAAATCAGACATTATCATGAGAACAACATTCATAATTTGAGATGATAGCCAAATTCAATTACATTAACAGAAAATCTAGTATAGAGCAAGGATTATCCACTGCTAAAAAAAGTAGAAATTTTATCTCTTATTTGTACTCTGCAAATGAAAAAATACGAAAAACTTTGCACGTGTTCGGGACACTTTCCGAAGCGGTTGTAAAATATTCTATTAACAAAGCTAGTATATTAATAAAATTTTTGATTCGCTAAAACTATTTCTTTATTGAAGAATTGGTTTCTTCAACTCTAAATAATTAATTTCTTGTTCAAGTTATTTAATTTTAAGTATTCTTAAATTTATTCTAAAATAGAATACTTCTAATATGAAATTTGTAGTATCGTCATTACTCTTTGCAATAGAAACATGTCAATGAATATAGTCTAGTGAAATCCGACATCTTCTTCAAGACTTTTGTATTGCATGTTAATTGCTTTTATTCAATAAAAAAAAAACTATTCTTTTCTTTTATGAATACTTTACCATCTTAGTACATCTCAATTGAGTCAGAGAGATTAATCTTTATCGAAAAAAAAAGAAAAATTAGAATCTATTTTTGAACATAGTCTGACGTCAATTGAATTAATTAAAAATCTATTACAATATGTTTTAAACCTACATGAAAGGAACATGGTTTTTACTAGATTAAATAAAGATGTTCTTCTCATAGACAGATAAAAATTTAAATGCTATTACAAAGTATGACGTTTCTTTTCAAAAACAAAAAAAAAAGAAAAAGAAAAAAAAATTCGATTAAAAACATTTTCAACTGTCCCAAGCTGAACGTGTTGTAAATAATTGATGAGATTGATTTGAATTATTATTTATAATTGGCATTGGTATTGTTGTCCATGATGTTAGTGGTGTATTATCATTATCAATTGTTGTTTTGTCAGTTACTTCCGATGATAGATCACGTAATGATCGTCGATAATCATTTCCACTAATACTAACATTGCTATCACCACTTATATTACTAACAAGCAAAGTTTTAGGAAATGTTTTTCGATCTAATTGTTTTAAATAATCTTGAAAACGTTTTTCCATTGTTGGAAATTGTTGATGTTTCTTTGGTAATATAGGAAATAAACGATGTACTGCATGCATTGCTTCAGTTAATGTTAATTGTTCATCACTTAACATTAAATATTGAATAGCAATAATAGCAAGTGGTGAATTTGGTGTTAATTCAAAACCATAAATAAGTATTCGTTTATCTTCTTGTTGTGCTTTTAATATAAAATGATTAACAGCTGCAAATAGTTGTCCTAATTGTGTACGACTTAATTCTCGAATTTTACTGTTACTTAAATGATTTGAATCAATTGATGTTGAATTTGTTAAATATGGTTGATCAAATTCAAGTGTTAACGTACAACGTGAATGTGTATGACCACATTGACATGGAAGACGAGCTCCAACTTTTGCTTTACGTGCTAATTCATCAGGTCTCATATTAGTTGCATCAATAAGATAATCAATAGATAATTTACATAATTGTCTTTCATTTTGTAAAGCACGTATTGAACCTAATAAAATATCATCTGTAAGAAAAACAATTGGAATTGTTGGTGATGCTGGATTGCTCATTGGTAATGTTGGTTTAGCTAAAGATTGTGAACGTTTTTGAATATCACGTCGTAATTGTGGACGAAAATCTGTTCCTACAAAATTTCATATGTTAAAAAAAAAAGAAAAACTTGTTTATTGTTGTTTTTTTTTTTCTTAAATTTACCAAGACATTCAGAAGTTGTTGTAAATACAGGTGGTGCCGGTTGAGGAGTAAATGTTGGTAATAAAGGTGATGGTGATGATGATTTTGAACGTATAGCTGTAGGAGATATTGATGGACATGATGGATTTCGTCGTTGAATAGATGATACTAATGTTTGAGCTGAATCAAGATCCCATTCATTATCAGATGCTGATGATTTCGATGGTAATGAAATAGCTGTTGTTGGTCGACTTAATGGTATACGCATTGAATTAGTATCTGTACTTAAACGATTTGGACGTTTTTGATGAAGAGAATTTTTATGACGAGTTGTTCCTATTGATGACGTATGTCGATGACTTGTTGTTGCTAATATATTATTGTTAAGAGGATCATTTAAAGTTTGTTTTCTTCGTTGCTGTTTTAATTCATCATCATCATCATTATCAGATGACGATGTTGTGGAAACATCTTGAACATTTAAATCACTTGCTGATGCGCTTTCAATGCGCACTGTTACAGTTGATGGGTCAGCCACTGTTGATGATACCGAACTGAATAAAAAAAATATATAAAATAACCTTTTTTGCTTTATTTTTCTATCTCGTAGATTAAAATATACTTTGACGTCTTTCTTCTCAGTTTCTTTTTAAAACTCACCTTGAAGAACGATGAATCACGGTATGCATAATTTTTAACTTGAGATCGTTTTTCTTAGAAATGTAACAGAAGTGAAAAAAGAAAAAAGAGATCGACGCATTCGTCTTAAGCAGTTAAAATGATTAACAATACTACATTGATGACGTGAATACGAATACTCAAGAATGACGTTTTTAGTTAATGCGTTAGATTTTCTGGAAGGATAGAAAAAGAAAAAGAAGAAGTATTCTAGCAGAAAATGAAATCAGAATTGTCGTACAACGACGAGTTTTTTTTCATAAAAAAGAAACACAAAACGAAGAAAAAAGAAAGAAAAAAGGAAGGAATTTCCTTCTTTCTATTTCTTTATTTTTGACGCTTCTTTATATGTAGTGTATGTGTATGCGACACGATTCATCATATTACCTTGAGTTGTTCTGTTTTACTGACGTAGTTCATTGTCTCTGCCTTGCTTTTTCTTCCTTTTCTTTTTCACTTCCTGATGTGCATGTTAGTTTGTCAGTTAGAGTTCTCCGTCACTCGAGGATGAGAACACTAGGCAAAAATATACTCGTCCCATGATAACATAAATGCACAAAACTTTGATGAATGTAGTATGACATGAGATTATTATCACTTTTCTTGTTGAAAGCAAGAAAAAAATATAATAAAATCAATAAATTCAATAGATAAATAAATATTCTTTTCCATATAAATATTTAGTTCATATTTGTTATTATTTTTTCTTGATAATATGAATATATATTATTGTTATTATTCGAATAGAAAATAATTTATTAGATAGCAATTAGAACAAACTATATAAAAATAGAAATAAATCATTAACATTTCTTGCATTCTTTTTTTTATTTCATGCTGCATTTATTTATAAGTGGTTATTCACTAGGTCTTTAAGATATCTGTGAGTTCAATGCATACAAATATAAATAGATAATACCTTGAAAATTTTCTAATTATATAAGATAATTTTTCTTTCTATATAAAATTAAAGAAATGTTTGTTTTTTTACTAATACTTAAAATCTTTTTAAATAAATAAGAAATATTTCTTAAACTATTTTGTTCTATATTACAAAACTGTCGTAATTACTTTTAGTAAGCAAAACACAATCATATATGTTTATCAAGTGAGACAAAATAATTATAATTCAAGTTGTTTCAAAATAGAATAAATTAACTGTTGCATTCAATTTATAATATTTATTAACAATTTTTTCTTCTGTCAATTTAAATTTTAAGAGAACATAAAAATTGAACATTTTATTGTAATTAGCTTTGATATCATGAATAATGTTTGATAACTCATTTAAATATAGTCTATAATATAAAATTATTTTTTTTTTCTTATTGAAAATTTCATATAGCTTTTTTTAATTCAAACCGTAACACTAAATTATTACATACAATTTAAATTCTTACTTATGAATCATACACATTGAAAATTATATGTTTCTTCTTGATTCAATGAATATTACAATATGAAGATTAAGATTTTTTCTTTTGTTTAATTTCAAGTTTATTAATAAGATATGATTAAATAAAAACTACAATTCTAATAAATTTTATTCTCCAGGATTTGATTATACTTATGCGACTAAGATATTTCTCAATAATCCTCTTGCATAAAGTTTAGTTCAAGAGCTTATATTTCTATTATAGCTTCATAATCTTTTTTTTTCTTTTTATAAATAAATTTATTCAATAAACGCACTTTTATTTAAAAAAAAAAGAAAGAAGAAAGTAAGAACAGAATGTTCTAGAAAATCTATTTAAAAACAAACGATAAAATAAAAAATCAGTCTTTTCCTTGAAGTATGCCATGACGATAATTATTTCTATTTGAATTCATCCATGATATACATGTTGTATTAGAATAATGAAAAAAAGTTAAAACTAAATGTAGACATACAATAAATAATAATAATGCTGTTAATAAATAAAATGATATAAGAAGTATAAAATTTATTTGATGTTCATGTTCATACCAATAACTAAATGTTAATAAAACAAGAAATATCCATCCAGCAATAATATGACATATTGTATTTGAAAACAAACATAACATTAATATAATATAAATTATTGCTATAATACATATTGAACTAATAAGACATAAACCAATTAAATTTAATGTTGATTCATTGATTTGATTTAATATTTTTGATGGTAATAATAATGTATTATAAGCATATAAAGATGAAAAACCAATTAATGCTGTTTGCCATGCTAACATAACACTAAGACCATTATGAACAAATATTCTAATTAACCATATATCACCGTATCTATTTAAAAAAAATACATTTTTAGAAATCTTAAAAAGAAAATTTCTTTTTTTTGCTTCTTACAAATGACATGTTGATAATTCACGTTCATAATTATGAAGATGAATTATTGATGTTATAAAACAAAATATTAATGCTATCGTACCTAATATAATATAAACAGTTGCAAGCTAAATAAAACAAAATAAAGAATGAAAAAACAAAAACAAATAATTATATAATAAGTCATACAATATTAGATTGATGTTGAATAAGAAATAAAAATATAATATGTGACCAACAACCAAGACTAAATGTTAATAATTGTATAGGAGGTACTGGACGAGGATATTTATATAAATAATCATTATCACTACAACGACCATTTCGACGACATAATGTTGTTATAGCATAGAATAACCAAGGAATCTAGATTATATTTCAATTGAGAACTTAAAAATTCTAAAAAAAGAGTCATTATTCTTACTTGTAAACCATAGACAATTATCCAAAGTGGTGCAATCCATTTTTTAGGTGGAATTAATGGAATTGTGTGTGCATGAAAATGATGAAGTATACGACCAAAAACTATTTAAATAAACAGAAATATTTTTTCTTTTATTTTGAAACAATGTCGAATATGAAGAAAAAAAAAAACTTTAATTAATGTTTATAAATCTTTTAAGAAATAAAAATCGAACCAACTCACTTTGACTATCTAAGAAAAGATCACCAATAATTAATGTCAACGCAAGAACATATGAGATAAGAGCAACAAGAAGACCTATTGTTTTGCCACATGAATGTCGTTGTTTATTTTTATCAGATAACCTTATAAAAAGTTTGTTTTTTTTTTGTGCAAAACAAAAAAATAACTCAAACAAAAAATACACACTTGTCAATTGCACTGTGCATAGGAGAACTATCTTCGAAAGGCATTGGACGAGAAAATAAACTTTACGAGATGAATTAAATAGTATACAGTATAGAAGAAAATAAACAAAAGTCTATGTTGTTTGTTCTTCTTTTCTTTCGAACTATAAAATATATAATAGATATATTCTTGTTTTCTAACAAGATTATGTTCAAATTTAATTGTGTTTTTTTTTTGTTCTTGTTTATCAAATAATATTAATAATATATAGTTATGGAAATATCACAGATAAATGATAGAAAGAGAGAGTATACTTTTCAAAATTAATTTAGATCTGATAAAATTAGAAAGAAACCCAATGAAAAGATCAATGATATCGAAATAAAGTAGTAATATAACAAAAAAAAATAGACTTAATTGAATATTTTGATAAACATGTACTGGAAAACCTTTCTATACTAGATACCCTTCGGGCTTTTCAAAAGTGCTCCCGATAGAGATATGATTAAGTGTTTTCAAAAAGCAAGTTTTTCGAAAAAAAAAAAAGAATTAGCACATTTTTCTACATATTAATAGAATGATAATGAATCCGATAATGGTTTCGAACACATAATCAATTCACTCGTCCGATGTTTTTCTTTTTTTTTATCATTGAAAACAACGTTATAAATCAATACTTGTTAACATATTTGTTGATATAATTCTAGTTTAAAAAAATATCAGTTAATTATGACTGAAGGTCACAGACAACAATATATAATCTAACACTATAGAATACAAGCAAAAAACTTATTATCGAAATGATACAAAAAGCTTTCAGTGTAATCCCTACAGGATTAAAATATGAAACACGACAGAGCTGCTTTTCTCGTACATCCAGACTCTCACTGTGTTGATTACGATCCATGAGCAAGTCAAAGAAGCAGCATGTGAAAATGCTTGTCATCAACCTATGTAGTAGGCCTGGAGGTAATTCATTTTTCTCACTATACACTTCAACATTCATTTCCATTTGGGTTCTACAAAAAAATCAAGCCAATCAACATAAAGACAAAGAATGTTATATTGACGTCATTTGTATTATGCGTTTAAAAAAAAAGAAGGGATAACTCTTTAGCTCATCAATCACCAACGGTTATAATCTAAATAAGGATGAATCTTATCATGAAAATTTTTTCTTTTTTTTTTGTCTTTTTGCAACAGTATTGATCAAGTAAATGTGCTCATACTATTAAGCAAAGTATGTATTTTCTCTTCTACGTACGTTTCTTTTGTCTTATTATTAGTCTAATAGAACATATGGTAGTATTACGCAATAAATAATTGATTATAGTAATCTCTTTTTTTTTCCTTGCTGTTGAAAATATAATACAAATGAGACCCATTTTATTCTAATTGCGTACGTTTTCGGTGTCGTTTAGAAAAAGCTACGGACAGATATGTAAAAGCTTCTCATCATCTTCTATGATTGAGACAAATTTGTCAAGCTTTTTTCTTTAGAAAAGTATTTGTCATTGTTTTTCCATCAATCTTAACTAGCAATCTTAGTTGTTGATTAGCATCTCATTCGTTAAAAAGCAAGAATGGAAAAGTCGATGTCAATAAAATCAGTAGAAAAGAAATGCATCCAATATATAGAGATTCCATTTCTCCCACATTCACACCATGAAACTGTAAAAAAAAAAGAAAAAAAGTATCCACTATGGGAGTTTTTAATATATTAAATATAAAAAGAAAAGAATTAAATTAATATGTTCATCACGGCTGACACACAAGAAAAAAGTCTGATTTCCTTTGAAACCAATAAAACTAATATAAAGAGAGATGTATCATGCAACATTATTCTTTTTTCTTTGAAGACCATCTATGCCTTCTACATAATTTCATAGAGTTATTATGATGAAACTATCACGTATTTTTTTTTTTGCATCGTGTATCATCGATTAGAAATTCATATTTTTTAATACATAAAATTTTAATCTATTATTTTCAAATCAAGATTTTTTCAATAAAATCATATTATCAAATAAATAAATAAAAATCTTTTTTTCCTATATTCTAAAGGTAGTGCGCGAAAACATCCTTGAAAATTAATATATATTATTTCTTTTTCTCTAGAGAATAGGACAAAAGAAAAGAGAGAGAGAGAGATAAATAGAATACATTGTTGTATAAAGACAAAGAAGAAAAGAATATAGTCATTCAAATGAAACTGTAGGTACCAATAATACATTATTACATAAGTTCATTTGACAAACGCGCACAATAAAAATAAAATACTACTGCACAAGACAAAAAAAAAAGAAAAAAAAAGGAGATCAAGAAAAGAAAGTGTGAAAACTTTACACATTCTTTAAATTGCCAACATATATGCCTTAATTTCACATCACTGAATATGCTATAAAAAGAGTGAGTAAAGAACAAGAAAAAGAAATCGGTTTTTTTTTTGTTGTTGTTTTATATCTATATGTATATATATGTGTGTGTGTGTAAATGATTTGAAACAGAATTTATGAAGGAAATTTGGGCGGTGAACCAACTATTGGTGGTGAAGCTGTACCAGGTGATGATGTAAGTACAGAACTTCGTCGTGGACGATCAGCATCTTCCATTGACATTGCACGAGATAGACGACCTAAACCAACTAAACCAGCTTCCATTGGTAAACCAGATACTAAATAACAAAATAAAATTATTTATTTGAAATATATTTTTAAATAAATACATACATAAACCTATGCCTTGTAAAAAGAATTGCATCGATTTAGCCAAAACATCAGGCTAGATAATAAAGAAAAAAAAAAGAAAGTTTTTTTTTTTTTTGTTTTTTTTTCGTCTTACTGCTTCACCAAGAACATCGCCGACATTATCAGCAAGAAGCATTGGTGAATTAACCATTTTTTGTGGACTACTACGTGATTCACGAAGACGATCATAGAATTTTTCAGTTGTATGTAATACAGAACTTTTCTTTCCAACAGCTACGAGACAATCAACACTATAAATATAGATTACAAAAGAAAAAAAACAATATTTCCTTTTAATTTATAAACTGAACTTCGAAACAATCATTTCTTTTTATTTGCCTCAATAAAAAACACATAATAGAAAATTATTGTCTATAAATGTTTTAACATTAATTGAAGTTCATCTATAGGGATTTCGGATAGCACGTAATCTTCTTCTAACAATGAAGACTATTTATTCGTTTTAACATTATTGAAAATACAAGACAGAAGAAGGAACTAAAATTTTGCTTATATAAATTTTATGTGTTTAAAATATTCTGATAGATTTTAATAACTTAAATAATTTATTTTTGCCAGAATATCCATGAAAACTATTATAAAAGTATGTAGAATCAATTAAACAACACATTTCTTTTACTAGGTTATCTTTGTAATGAAGGGTAAAATATCACAATATGGATGCAAAATCTATAAATTCCATGCAAAGATCCTTGAGTACTATCATATTACATTATTCTTTAGACGAATCAAGATATAAATATATCTTCATCTGTTAATTCTGCATTCTGAATGAAATGTATTCAATATTATTAAACAATAAACTCCTATTTAATCAATGATAATTGACTATGATTAAAGTGTTTAGTTTCTATGTTTTATACGGTTGCAAAAAAATTTAAAAGTCTAATTGAATTAGTCAAAAATCTCTCTTGAGAAATAGAACAAATTTTTATGTAAATGTTATTTAATAACGAATAACTTACGTTAATTTGTCCAATCTATCAACAAGACTTGTTCGACTAAAGATTAAAGAAGACAAATTGGTGTTTTATTTTCGATAATTAAAAATTATATTTCATTTTTTTTTACTTCAAAAAAGCATCCATAAAAAGTGCCAAATTTTTTGCTGTTCGTTTTTGATAAAGTTTTTCCGAAAATTCACGAATATTTGCTTCAAGTAATTGTGAATCACCATAACCCTATAGAAATAAAAAGAAAAAACATTTTCTTTATTTCTATTTCTCTTTTCCTCAGAAACATAAAAAAAAAAAAAAAACAACCATAAAATAACATTCATGCAAGAAATCTAAAAGATATTAGCTATTGAAAACAACAACATTGGAAAAGAACATTTAAATGGAATATATTTATATTATTCAAATATCTCAAAAATTCAGTTTTCTTTGAAAAAGTCTATTTTTCAATACATATTTATCCAGACGTGCAGTAGAAAAAACAATAATAAAGCAAAGGGTAGGGTTATAGTAAATTTCTGATGCTAAGAAAAACATTCATTTTCTTAAATGAAAACTACACCTTGTTCTTGTTTGAATCGTCGCTAGACTATAAAACCAAACAAAATTATAATAAATCTCTAGAGGGCTTCTCAACACAGAAACAAGATCTAATCGAGTTCTCTACGGCTATTTGATAAGAAATATTTTGACCAGTTTTCTACACATATTGGATACAATTATTAATTAAACAAGAAAAAAAACAATAATCATAAATCAGCAACTCCACACTTACTTTTACTGCATCCTGAAATGAAAAGAAAACAAAAATACATACATATATATATATATATATGTATTAAAATAAAACTACATACACGTCCAAATCGGTGCCAAATAAGATAAGCTTCAGCATCTGGATTCATTCCTTTATGAATTAATTTCCAATTATTAAGTTTATCTTTCATCATTTCCATAAAGCCAGCTGTTGTACCAGTTGGATGAACAAGTACAAGACCATGTACACGTGATGGATGTTCTATAGCAAAACGACAAGCTATATTAGCTCCTGCACCTTCGCCAAATATAACTGTTTGTGGAATATTTAAACGATCAACAACATTTATTAATTCACTAGCTAATTCATCTAATGATGGATATTTTCTAAAATAAAAATCATAATAATATTCAACGAACATAAAGATAACAAATTTTTACTCTATAGTCAAAGGAGCGGCCTCATCTTCTTGACCTGGTAAATCAATATGTACCCAAACAATTCGCTGTTTACTATAATACAGAATATGAAAAAAAAAAATTTTTTTAATCAATTTCAAATTCTTACAGAGCACGCATTTCAGGCTGAGAAACAAATTCAGTAAAAACCGAATCTAAGATTTTGAAATGAATATATAATTAAAAAAAGAAACAAAAAATCTGATCTTACGACTACAGCCAATATCATGTATAGTCATCACATAACATTTTGCATTGTTACCAGTATCATCCTAAATTAAATAATTATATATCTCTTATGAAATTTTAATCATAGACATTTACTTGAACCCATGTAGTAAAATCAAGGCCGAGTTTTTCCGATCGAATCACATGTTTCTATATTTAAAAGATAAATAATTATTTTATGTTCGACATAAAATAAAGAACAAAATCATATTAATTGATACGAATAGCAAAATCTTATGTCTAAAATTACTCGATTATTTTGAGCTTAGTTAAAATAAAGTACTATAATAAAAAGAATCATATAAAGATTCTATTTCAAAAGCTAAAAAAGAAAAGTATTGATATATGTCTTTGTAATTCATTTTCGTTGCAAAATCATAAGAACAAAAAGATCAACTTTCTTCTTTTCTTTTTTTTTCTTATCTACTATTTTTTTTACATGTCGGCGACCTTTACTATGTTTTTGTACAAGGTGAAAAGTAAATTTGACTGGTTTACGACAGAATAAATAAAACGACCAATCAATCATGTTCTTTTTAATAGATCAAATCGGTGTTTAAAGTATTGCTTTTTTTGCGAAAAAGAACTTTAAACTCATATAATATCACACGTCCGAATCGCTTCGTGCAAGTTGATAGGTATTTATCATTAATAACGTAAAAAATGTCATGCGCTTTCTTTTTTTAGCTCTAATTATCTAACAATGTGCGTATGTTAAGCTTCTAATCGAATATGTACTAAAAAAAATCGTATGTTTGTCATAATAATGTGTATTCAGAGCTCGATACAAGTATCAATTTGTCTTATCAATCTATTATTTGAGTGTAATCAAGCATATTCATAAA